GAGGGAGAAAAAGTGAAACAAACTTGAACATCATCAAAAAGTTGTCATATACACCCCAAGATAATGCCAAAGGGTAAAAATCTAAGACTCAAGGAACCTGAGAAAATATTTGTAGACCCTTTATCTGATAAAGGATTCATGTCCAGAAAATGGAAACAGCTTCTACTACCTGAGGACAATAATGACAAACAATTGATCTAATTTTAAAATGTGCAAATGACTTGAATATGTGTTTCTTCAATGAAAATTTTAAAATGGACAAGATTCTTGGTGTTATTAATCAGGGAGATGCAAGTTGAAATCACAAGGAAATATTAATCTATCAATGAATGCCCACCAGAGTGGCTACTATTTAAAAAGAATAAAAAAGTGAGGGGGAGAGTAGGGAGGAATAACATGGGATGTGAAGGAAGTGAAGAAATTGGAACATGTGAGCATCTTTACTGGGACTGCAAAATGTGCAGGGCACTGTGGGAAAGAAACATGGAAATTTCTCCAACATCAAATGTAGAAGTAGTATACAGTCTACCAACACCGCTCATGGGTATAATCTCAAAAGAATTGAAAGCAGGGATTCAAATGGATAGCTAACTATATATTAATATTTATAATAGCTCTATACAAAATGTTATATACACACAGTAGAATTGTATTCAGCCTTTAAGAAGAATAAAGTTCTGATTCATGCAAAATACAGATGAACTATGAAAACATAACGGTGAGTAAAATAAGCCCATCCAATACCCTCCTCACACAAATAAATTCGGCATCATTCACTAATGTGATGTACTCACAGTGCACACATTCACGGGGCTGAAAACTAGAGTATTGGCTGTCAGCGACTGAAGGAAGAAGGAGGGTAGACTTGGTTAGTGGGTACAGAGTTTCAGGATGCAATGACACAGTTCTGAAGAGGGATGACAGTGGTGCTTGAGTAATAGTGTGAATAAACCCAATGCCCTCAAGTGCACACTCACAATTGGCTAACACAGCACCTTTTACATTACAGTCACACATATGTACTACAAATAAAAACCCAATGCCGTAAAAGACAAAGCTGCAGAGATGGACCAGATTAAAGGAGTATAAAAAACCAATAAAGAAAATCAATAGTCAACTTCTGCCTGGAACCCTGATGTGAACGGAGAGGCTATAGAGGCTGCAAATGGCTCAGAGGACAAAGCTGAAACATGAGACTAGATTGGGAGGCATTATAACAGTGATATATTTCACTGTGCTTGGCTTTTCTACGCTTAGAGAAGCTAGCATTCTGACCTTTAGTAAGCAGACATAGACTCATAAAACAGAAAACTTACTCTTAAACAGTTAGGGGGAAGTGTGTGTGTGTGTGTGTGTGTGTGTGTGTGTGTGTGTGTGTGTGTGAAAGAGAGAGAGGGAGGGAGAGGAAGGGAGGGAGAGAATATGAATATGTGTGCATATGCATATGTGTGTGCCTGTGTGTATATGTATATGTGTGCCCACACATGTGTGTGCAGTAAGAACACAGAAATGATAAAACACCTTGAATGTGAAACAGTGCATGACTCTTATTAAAGAAAGGTATTACTTTTTAGTTTTTAGCCTTTTTGTAGAGTTGAAACTATGTCCATCCAAAAGTTTCCTAAACCGGAGAAAACATCTGTAAAGCGCAGTGTCTGCTCTACGCTCTATGGTACAGTATGTGAGCTGGGAACTAGGCTGGAGATTTAAAAACACCTGCACACAGACAGATACACAAGGACACGGGTCATCCTTGAAACAAGAATGCCAACTTTATTGTGCTCCAGAGAAGATTATCTAGGGATCCTTAAGTGATAGCCATGCCCCAGCTCTTGGGATTTTCTGGCTGTAAAACCCACCAGGAACCACTCCCCTGCCCTCAGGAACTCTTGAAGGTCTCATGCTCAGTGCAGCTGCAGGCACAGGTAAACAAGTTGTTTCACTCCGGCAGGCAAAGGGTCTGAGGCAGGCAAAGAAAGTCAAGGGGCCAGGGGTCTGCAGCCCCTGGCAAACATCAAGAACTGAGATCAGAGCTGAGAGAAAACTGATCAGAATAGCATAGTAAGACGCCCTTGGGAAAACTGAAAACTTTAATAATCTAACAAATACCGAAGAAGTAGAATTTGTAAACAATCCCTGGAATAAATTTGAATCTGTGTCATAAGAGGGAACTGGTTTTGCTGACTATGGCCAGCCAGAGTGACTGGAATCAGCAGAATTTCAGGGACTATTACATCATAAGGAAGGCAGGGAAATGCTTTGTGCAGTCAGGCAAAAAAAACAAAAAAACAAAAAAAAAACAAAAAAAAAACGAAGTAAATTGTCAGGGAAAGAAACCCATTTACAACTGGCTTCCTGACATTTATGCTAAGGGAAGAAAATGTAAATATGGCATTTTATTCTCAAAAAACTGATTTGTAACTATAAAGGCCTCCAACGGTCTTATTAACACAGTCAAAATACGGTTTCCACAAGTCACTCCTAAGGAATCTTCCCTAGGACAGGATTCAGGCCACCAAGATGACAAGTGGAAAGCTAATACAGAGCTCATGGACATCAGTAAAACACGCTGACATACAAATGAGATGAAAGTACAGCCTGAGCCCTAGAAAGGTTTCTATCACTGTTCTGTTAAAAGGCCCTGTTGCCAAATTATCTCCTGAATATTCATGTTTATACCTATAGACCTGAGCAGCTCTCAGCCTGCATCAGAAAAGCTTCTTTTTGCAGAGGGCAACAGTTGGTTCAAAGTTCACTATGATGCAGAATTGATCATAGTGCTGAGAATAAGTGACTGCGTACAGTCAGTCTAAATGGGACATCTGGTCAACCTCTGTGCCAAACCTCATGGAACGCTGAAGAAGAGGGGGAAAGGTTGCGAGAGCTGGAGAATACAGAGGGCTGCTGTGGAATGCTGTCACCATGACATGGTCATTGAACCCATGGGCTCACGGTTGCTATGGTGACCTGCGCAAAATCAAGTCAGCTAAAACTGTAGTATGCATGGAAGAGGATCTCGTGATTCTCTAGCCTAACTGAAGAGGTATGGGTAGTCAGGGGAGAATCACTTTTGGGGTGTATGGCCAGTAAAAGATTGCTCCAGAGAATGAACCTGAAAGACTCCCCTGGGGCGTCTTCCCTCGGGAGAGACCCCCATGTCCAAAGATCAGTCGAAAGCACGCAGCCGGATGCAAAATGCAAGAGGTTTATTTGGGGTACACAGGCACCTGTGGGCGACAAGGTCTCTCGGAGAACTTGCGCGCCTGCAGGTTGGGGATGAGGGGTTTTTATAGGGGAGCAAAAGCGCGGGTACAGAAGCAGAAAAGCTTTCATTTCATTGGTCAGTTCAAATAAGGCTAAGCTGAGTGGCACATTCTTGACCTTTTACCTAAATACCAAGGAGGGGGTTGTCCAGATCCACCTGGATACCAAGGAGGGGGCTGTGCTACCTGTTTTTCTTATCTCTTCCTGCCTTCCTAGCTTGGCTGGCGACTAGATGTCTGATTTGCACAGCCCCTGACTCGTGAGAGGCTCGCTCTGTACGTGACTCAGGCCTCGCAATCCTCTCTTCCTCCCTTGAAGTCTTTGTTCCTACTCATGTCAGTTCATAAATCTCCTGTCCTGCTGCCAGATAAGGCTGTCCTCGTTCTAATCTCAGGTGTCTTTGCTTTAGCATTCTGGAGGTCTTGAATTAAGCCTGTTATTTGTTCAGCACTCTGGAGGTCCTGACTCCGGAGGCCTTAATGGAGCTTGCTATCTGAAAACCTTTGCAGAGCGTTATAACTGTGGTTAAAGTTAAAACCACAGTTTTAACTGTGACCCCAATGAAGTTGGGGTCCTTCAAACCCACACTCACTAACACTAGTTGGACTGAACTATTTTTTTTATAATTTAAAAAAATGTTATTTTATGTGTAAGGGTGTTTTGCCTGCATGTATATCTGTGTACCACTTGTGTGTCTGGTGCTCTCAAAAGCCAGAAAAAGGAAGAACACCTGGAACTGGAGTTATAGACAGTTGTGAGATGTCGTATGAGAACTGGGAAACAAACCTGGGTCCTCTGGTGCAGCCAATTCTGAACCAGTTCTCTAGCCCCTTGGCAGGTTATTTAGTAAAAAGAGAGGACATGAAGATGGAAGATTATGTGCGGCTGGGAAAGTAGGAAGAGTATGACATGAGGGTCAAGGGAAAACTATATAATATTTACATGATTCCTGACAACAAAGATACAACGGATTTATAACAAAAGAAGAAAGAGTATGATGTTACAGCTATTATTGCTGTTTATGTCATATTGCTATTTTATCTTGACTGTTATGTGCATAAAGTGTCGGATAATGCAATGAGTAATGATGTCGTATTTTGACTTCTTGTCAAGGAGCACCAGAATCCTCAGTAAGGAGAAAAGAAAATACAAATGAAAGTGGAAGACATGAAGTAAAAATCCCATTGCACCTGAATGAGAAATAACAGAATGGACTAATATATGGAATCTCCACATATGAGCTTATTTTGTAAATATATGAATGCATGTAGTGGATGTATATGTATGCACACAAATGTCTATTCTAGCAATGCTCATAGAAAGGGCCTAGAACAGAAGGCAAATCCAAGTAGCAATGTTGAACCTAGGCATCCCAACTGGTGTCCTGATGTTATTTCCCATCCCTGGGACACTGGGATGCTGAGCTTGTTAGAGAAAATTCTAAGGTCCAAAAAGTAAGTGTGAAGAAGCCTGGCTCAGTCTGTTATGCCAGATAAAAAATGTGGCAGGTTTTGAAAGATAGTAGTGAAATATCTTCTAATTCACACAACTCTTCTACAGTGGAGGCCAGCCGTTGCCACACATCATATTAGGGTGCTCATTTCTCAGCCCCTTACATCTGGGAGAGCGCTGTGACTGCTTTGAGGAGTGCAGAGTCAGCTATCAGGTCAGTTCTAGCGGCGCTTCACAGGCCTTGAAGCTTTAACATGCTTGCTTCTCTGCTTCTTTCCAGGACGCAGCTCATGGAAAGCCTGTGTATCTAGTCCAGTGTCGGGCTCAGATGAGCTCCTAGCCAACAGACAGCATCCTCTGCCAGTTAAACCAGTAAGGGATCATCTAACCAACCCGAGCCTTGAGATCACTATGGCCTCAACTAGCAATTGGCTGCAAAGGATCAAACACATTGTGGCAGGTAAAATGACTCCAGAGATCCCGTCTCCTAAGCCCAGAATCTGGGACTGGATTATATAGTAAATGGCATGAAGATTACCATCATTTGGCCTTAAAGAAAGGAGATCATCCTCACTAGTATGAGTTCATAATCATTGCAGGACTCTTTACTAGTGGAAAAAAAAAGGTAGAAGAGGAGGGTAAAATATGGAGCATGGGAAAAGCTATACCTGTCACCTCTGGTGTGAAGACAAATGAAGGGGACCTCAAGCCAAGAATGATGGACAGATTCAGAAGTTCTAATAGATTCTGTGCTTGAGACCCAGAGAGCAGCATTGCTCTGCTCACAGTTTGGTGTTAGATTACAGATCCAATTCTGATTTCAGATACCCAAAACTATGACAGACTGGATTTCAGGAGCCTTTAACTTCATGGTAATCTGCTACAGACATGATAAGGGATTAATGCAGACTCTGGAGTCTGTAACAGATCAAACCGATGGGGTGATGCAAGATAAAAACCAACTAGTTTTGAGCACAGGTTTTTGTTCAGAGCACTAGAAACTGGAACAGCACAAGACATTGAATCTACCAGACTGTTTAGCCAGGCTTACTGAACCACTGCTCAAAGAAGGGGATAATTGGAATGTGAGAATGACTCTTCAATAGATTATAAGACTAGACCTTAAATCCTATGGCCAGAAAGATACAATAAAATCAATCATCTTTGGAGGCTGTCAGAAAACCAAGTCATTATTTTTTAAAACAAAATGTTAGGAAGCAAACAAACCATTTGGCTTCTTCTCTTATACTACTAAATACCAGGAGAAGAAAAAGGTTTACTTTAAGGTTCTGAGCAATAAAGGAAGAAAGCCTGCTTATATTGGATGGTGTGTCCCACTGAGCTTTATGCTGCTGTGACCAAAAACAAGATGGGAAGGAGAGGGTGTATTTCATCTTACAGGCGACAATTCATCATCCAGGAACTCAAGGTAGGAGCCTGAAGCAGAAACCACAGAGGAATGCTGCTTACTGCCTTGTTCCCTCTGCTCTTCTCAGTTATCTTTCTCACACAGACCAGGCTCACACCTTGTCCACAGAGGTCAAGAGCCCTTCTACATCAATGAGCAATCAATAAAATGCTCCATAGACATACATGCCAATCTGATGGAGGCCGTTTCTCAGCCTGAGGTTCCTTCTTCCTAGGGGTGTCTAGATTTGTGTTAGGTTGACAGAAACTCACCATCACAGTGTATCAACCATGTGGTTCCTTGTTAATGGCTCTAAGAACAGAGAGTAAGCAGTAGTAAAAGACTCCCAACAAGGATCAGGTCTTCTTACCTCAGAAATGTATGTAGACTGGGTCTTTTATACCAGATCTCAACTGAAAAGACTATTCTTGATGCACATGCACATTAACAAATTATGCTTTTAATTATTTGCCTTTTTATGTTCCTTTTTTATTTTTCTGGAATTCGTCAAGTAACAGTATGTAAATTACATACATGATCCTGAGAATGATCAGAAAGATTCTGCAGTCACATTTGGTTAAGCAATATGACACCTTCAGGAACTTGTGGGGCTTCAATACTTCCTGTCTTCCTAGCCACCCAAGGTAATCCTCACCTTGATTTTTATTTTCTTGCCTTTCTTTATTGCTTTGCCTCCCATGTATTCATAAGCCTTACAGATTATCTTACAAGTTTTTGTTCTTTTAGATAAATGAAATATGACACTTCATTCCTTTTGGTAAGTATAATGTTCATATGGATAAAATTCCCCCATTTCCATGTGATATGTAATTTCATAAACAAATATACCATAATTTTTATATCTGTCCAATTTGATGAAATTTAGTTTGTTTTCTTTTCTGAACCCTAAGGTCTGCTGCCCCACACTGATGTAAGGGCTTCTTAATTGCACACATCTAGGGGGAGAGTTGCTGAGTCGAAGGTTATAAAAAACACTACCTCAGCAGGCAAGAGTGCCCTTTGTCATTTTAAAGATATAGAAATAAGTTCAGAAAGATGAAATAATATACATTTATCAGTTGCCTTCAAACAGAGATATCAAATTAATGCAATGAGTGCTGTGGAATTCCCCTCTGTATGCTGGGAATGTTTTATTACCATTGGTTAATAAAGAAGCTGCTTTGGCCTATGGCAGGGCAAAATATAGCTAGGTGGAAAATCCAAGCAGAGATACAGAGAGAAAGAAGGTGGAGTCGGGGAGATGCCAGTAGTTATTGGAGGAGTAAGATGCCACAGCATTACCAGTAAGCATAGCGATACATGGATTGGTAGAAATGGATGAATTCATATGTAGAGCTAGGCAGTAAAAATCCTGAGCCACCGGCCACACAATTATAATTAATATTAAGCCTCCAAGTGATTATTTTATAAGCAGCTGGGCGGGTACCAGTGGGCGGGAGAGAAACTGGTCCAGCAGGACCGTGAGGGACAGAGAAAAGTCTCCAGCTACAAGTGTGTCCTGACTATTTTTAAGTAAAGTGAAAGAAGATAGTCTGAAATCTAAATGATTAATAAACACACAAAGAGATAAAAATGCTTATTAGTTTAGTGTTAGCGCACTAACACGTGCTTCCTACTTCCTCTTCTTTCCTTTCTCAGACAGTGTCTGATACACTTCTGTATACCTGAGACTGCCCTTGAACCCCTAATCCTTCTGCTTTCACCTCCCAAGTGCTCCTATTACAGATGTGTCCACCACACAGCTGGTTCTGCCCCTTTGGCTTTGTACCATGCAGCCTAGGCTGGCTCTACCTATACATAGCTGATGGAATTTCTGACCCTCCTGTGTCCCCTTTCCAAACACTGGGATGACAGCCTCTGTCACCACACAGTCTTCCCATTTCCCTGCAGCTACTACATCCATTGACAATGCTGATGGTCTGGTGGCTGGATACTGGTCATTCACTGGGGGTCTGAATAAGCATTTTTTTTTCAATCTTGTTGTGTGTTTATTCATCATTTAGATTTCAGATCGTTTTCTTTCATTTTACTAAAAATGGTCAGGACTCACTATATTAGTGTAATGTCTGCTTGAAGACAACTGGCAAATGTATATTATTTCATCCTTCTGAACTTGTTTCTAGATCTTTAAAATGACAAGAACCATATCATAAGACTGTCGGGATGATCAGACATATGGAAAGCACATACTGATGCTAAGTATTCAGCTTATACTCAATAATTAATAGTTACTATTAGTACAGTTTTAAAAAAAAAAACAGTAAAGAAAACTATTAGCATCGGAGTCTGCGCACAGCCAATGGCTAGACTGCTGCCCAGACTGCAATTCGGCTCTCATCCCAACAACACATGACATCTTCCTTTCTCTCAGAATGGCAATGCTACATGCTAGGAATGCTACATTCCTAGCACCAGCTAGGAAACTTGAGCTATTAAGAGAGTTTTAAAAAGAATTAATATTTCATTAGTGTTTGACTGTGATCCCAGGACTCTGGTATGGATGCTCATGTCTATGAGGATCCACAGACTCAGCACCATCCGTGTCTTGCTGTTCACACAGGGTGTTTTCTGTTTAGCAGGTTTTCATGGGTTTATAGTCAGGGCCCCATAAATATAACATTTCTAATCCCTTGAAAAGTACCCAAGACAAATCCATGCCCAACACTCTCCACCTTTTCCTAAAGATCTCCCCACTTTTTGATGAAATATTATAAAGGATGCAAAGAGCTGAAGTAGGAAGGCGTTGCCATGAATTGTGGGGTATAGGTAAGGTATTTTCCCCTATGGGACCTCTTATAAATAAGGCAATGGATACCAACAGGCTGGATTGATTTTCCTTAAACTCTTGATGCCGGGGGTGGTCATGGAGAGTCCCAGTCAGACTGTTTTTTACGGTTCTCATTTGTCTCTTCCTGAATTTTCCCTCTGCTTCCTTCATCCCCCCCTGCACTTTTCCTCTCTTCATTTCCCCTGCTCTCTTTTTATTCAGTGGGGTCTCCTGTAGTACAGGCTGGCTGTAAACTCACTATATAACCAAGGATGACCTTGAACCTCTGATTCTCCTGCTTCCCATCTCCTGACTGCTGGAATTATAGGTGTGTGCTACCACATCTAGTTTATAGAGTGCTGGGGATCAAAGTCAGGGCTTTGGGCATTCTAGGCACACTCTCTCCTAACTGACCCTCATCCTCAGCCCTGGATTTTAGGGTTTGCAGAGCATTCTCATAACTACCTAGAGACAACAACCCCATGCTAGAGGTAGATGGGAAATACAGGGGAATCGCAATAAAGAGGGAAAATGGTTAGTCTTCCTACTACTACTAGCAAGAAGTTTTAACAACATATTTTCTTGCTGAAATTACTGCTTTTAAAAAATAGCCGAAAATTTTTGGGTGAGTTTTATATGAAATACTTCTCTTCAAAAAAATCATTTAGGTATTTCTTAGGTAATTTGGAAGATATTTCAAGTATCATAAAATTTCATAAAATTTTCCTTCTAAACAACCACACAGCCATGTCTTCTCAGACAAAATCAGTATTCTTATGATGGAGACACCACTTCTGTTGTCCTCTTAAGGCAAATTTGCAAATAGAGACGGTTCAGGTGACTGACTTGCAGTAAGCATGACGTAGCAAACTGGTTTCTAAATATAGAGAAAGGCTAAATCTCCTCCTTCACACACACACACACACACACACACACACCAATAGAAGTGTAAGTGATAGTGGAACTTCCATAATTAAATGTCAAATAGTGGAAGAACAAGCAGAAAGGAAAGTAGCTGTGGAAGATACGCTTCCTACAAATGGTTATTTTAAACTCCTGGAAGAAATCCTCCAAAATAGCACCCTACGAATGACACCCAAAACTTTGGTGAATTTGGTAATAACGCATGTTACCTAAAGAAAAATGGAACAGTGCATAAAACTTTGAAGATTAAAAAAGGCAAACTGTTTAATAAACGCTATGATTTCTATGTCTGGTGGTTTTTAAGCATCCAGCAGCAGTGATCATCATTATCCGTATCCATACACTGTTTGCGCGTGCCCTCTAGGTTCTGAATACAGTCGACTCTGTGTCCTTCCTTGGAGGCTTCAGAGGACCGATTTTTGGTAGCATCTCTTTGGCGTACTGTGTCTTATGGAGTCCAGCTTCACGAAGCGCTAGCTCAAATCTAAGTCTAGGATCAGAAGTTATCTGCAGATATAAAATACAATTTAAATAAACAACTCATTTAGTTGAAGTAAATTTTATCACCAGTTTTTATATTTTTCCAAGTTGCATATTTTTTTAAGGTGTAGATGGTTAGATGTCAATAAATCTTGCTAGTTCTGTGATTGCAGAGTTTTTACTAGGAATGTTCAAATGGTTTTTGAGATCATCACTTTCCAGAGCATTATTTATTTCCAACATAAGCTACATTTAGTATTATATACTATATTAACCAAATACAATATATTAAGATTATTAAATGATGAAGTAAAAGAACCTTACTTCCAGTACTATTATTATTTATTGCTGGCTAGAATCATATAAATAAAGCATTATAAAATAAATCTACTTTAATAAATAAAATTAACCTTCAGAATATATTCTTAAGTAGCTATCATTAAGATAAACATATTAAGCATATGAGTGTGTGTCTGCATTCAGGTATATGCACCATCTGGGTGTGCAGTGCTTACAGAGGCCAGAAGGAGGAGTGGTAATTTAGTTAAGGACGGGTCCATAATTAAAAGTCTAATTCTAACATAACAAGCAGAAAGAATGTAGCTATGGAATTTAAATTTCTTGCAAATGGAAAAACAACCTCCAAAATACAACTCCCCAAATGATAGCACAGGTAACAAACACCCCATGATCTTGGTGAGCTTGGCAATATTAACTCCTAGAACTAGAGTTGCACAGAGCTGAGTTGCTAGGTGGATACTGGGAACCAAACTCAGGCCCTTTGCCAGGGCCCCAAGGGCTCTAAACCACTACAAGTTACCTCTCCATCATTTAGTAATGTGCAACGTATACATAAGCACATGGTCACTCCCTGAAAAAGAGAATCTGAGGTTGGCCCTTTATTTCAAACAGAACTGGAAATGCCCACCCATCCCATGCTAAGTGGGAGGAGACACACAAATAGCTCAACTTCTGTTCGCATTTATACTTGATTGGACCTTAGTCCCATTCCTATGAATCTTAAATATTATCACACTCTCTATCACGATAAGAGGTGGCCGCATACGGATTTATACCCATGAGGTATTTTTACCTGAATCTGAAGTCCAACCCCACAAAGAGATAAAGTCATAAACGTTGAAGATAGTTTCCTCAGTGAGTTCCTGAGAGAGTGGAAGTAATAAAATGTGCGCAGATGACATGCGCACTGCGTGGGCTATGCTTCACGTGAAAACACGGAGGTGTGTGGAGTACTGCTTCCAGGAGGATGACCTCGGAGAAGAAACAACTGGGCAACAGTGAAATCTGACTTAATCTTTAAATCAGAGGGAGGATTGTAATCACATACAAATGCTGAGAGGAAGCAGGTCAATTTTGGGATCAGGGGAGATGGGACAGTGAGGAGCTCTGCCAAGAAAGGACACTCAGACTGGGGTGTGGATTTCAGTCTCGATGTCTGTCCTAGCTAGCGCCATATTGGTTACTTCTGCTTCTAGCATGAAAGTGTAGATCTGATCATAAAGTCAGAATAAACTAAGGTGGTAGAAGAAGAGAAGGAGGTGGGGTCAGGAGTCCTTTGGCTGTCTAGTCATGAAGTAATAACTACCTAAGCATGTCCAGAAGTAGATAAGAAACAACTGTTAGAAATACCCTGAAAGGAAGATGAAACAGCAACCAATCAGAAGCAGGGCTGGGTAGTGATGCATTGAAAGCAGGGCTGGGGTAGTGGTGCATTTGGAAGCAGGGCTGGGCTAATGGTGCATTGGAAGCAGGGCTGGACTAGTGATGCATTGGAAGCAGGGGTGGGCTAGTGATACATTGGAAGCAGGGCTGGGCTAGTGATGCATTGGAAGCAGGGCTGGGCTAGTGACACATTGGAAGCAGGGCTGGGCTAGTGATGCATTGGAAGCAGGGCTGGGCTAGTGATGCATTGGAAGCAGGGCTGGGCTAGTGATGCATTAGAAACAGGGCTGGGCTAGTAATGTGAGTGAGGCCAGGAATAACCCAAAGGTCCTTGTCGGAGAGACAATCGGTTGAGCCTAGGACCCAGGCTTTTCCTCTTCTGTCCACATTTATTCTCACACATTTTAAAAGAGTCACACTCCCTCTGTGATCTGTGTGCAGTAAATTCCCAAATTCTGCCCAGGATTCACCCCGGCCAGGTCTGTGGATCTTTGATATTTTTTATCATTCATTTTTTTTTTTTTTAGTAAAAACTAAATGAAGAGGGGAGGTTTCTCCTCCCCAGAGGGCAGTAATCAGCTTCTCAAAAGCATGCTTTCCACCTCTTCACCCTAAACCTGACATGAACAAAACAAATTCTCCCCAGGCTTTGTTTCTCCTTCTGGAGTCTTGCATGGTTAATGGCAGATCTGCAAAATGGCAATAATCCGTTGAATTACTGCTGAATCCGGGCAATATTCTAGGCAGTTGATATTCATTATTTCTAATCCTCACAAGAACTTTGCAAGTAATTATTTTAAAGATGAAGAAAACAAACATAAAGATGCTAATAGCTTAGGCAAGCGCACATAACCAATAAATCGAGGGTGTGGCTTTGCATGCCCAATGCGGGCTCTTCGCAGTGGTCCTTGTCTAACCGGGAATCGTCCTCGGCTGCTCATGACTCTCTCACCACCACTTCCACACCTCCACCCCAACAAGGATAAATTACAAATGTCGTTATTTAACTTAACCTGCTTTCAAGTACTCTGTCTATGCACGGGATCCGGGTCAGTTGTCTGAGTAGAAAGGTTTTTTGTGTATCGCAGTTGGGCCCTTGCCCGTGTCTACTCTCATGTTTCAGCACTCAGCCTGTGCCCTGCCCCTGTCTCACAGTGAAGACGCTCAAGGAAGCGCCTCCTTTTCTTCTGCCTGGGAAAACCCTGGCGGTTTGGTCCGGCTCCCTAGGACTTTGCCTTCCTCTGAGTTAAGCCCCTTTAGGGTGCAGCTGCCTCCCCACACGGGCAGCTGGTTCTGGAGAAACACCCACACATTCCTAGAAGGAATTCTCCCTGTGCACACTAACCTTCTTTCCCTTAAACTGTAAATCATCTTGGATGAATTTAGGAGCTACTGCCCCAAGTCTCCCAGCTCAGATCTCCATCTCTCCAACCTGCCGGACAGAGTTCACTATTCTCTCCCCACAGGCAGCACGGAAGTGGCCTTGCCCTGGTGCGTCACTTCTGTAGACCATACTCGCCTTCTTCACCTGGACCCTCTGTTCCCTTCCTCCAGGAAAGACCAGTCTGGCTCTTATGGGATAGAGCTAAGAGCTACACGTTCACACCGAATCAGAATATAGTTACCTATTTCTTAGGTACCTGTTTGATTATTAATGAATAGAGCTTTCATCTTATTCACTACCAAGCATGCAGCAGACAGGAGAGGCACTCTGGATTCACTTGGTTTCTTCAGAGTTGGGCTTTACTTCTCTCTAGGTCTATAAAATTCAGGACTGCTTTCTTCCTTAATTTTGGCTATATCCATTCATTCGTATATCCTCTTTCCCAACCTCCTCCTCCTTAAAGTTCTTTCCAATCTTCCTTTTCAGTTCCAGCCACAACTAACACAGAGTCTAAGCTCCTACCAATGGCTTTGTGATCCCTCAAGGGCGTCTCCATAGGAGATGGTTTACCCTTAGCTCTAAGAACATACATAACCTGGGACAGCAGTCTTCAATAATGCCTGTCAGTCTTATTTATTGCTTATTTAATGGGATTTATGTCGTGAATTTAGATATAAATTCTTAATACAACAATAGAGAAATCCATGAACTGTAAAACAATATCAATAACCTTTTTATACCAATGACTTTTGAATAAAACATTGTAATTTTTCAGTGACAGACATGATTTCTTCAACTGTTTTGTTTTATGTCACAATTCTTTAATATTTAGATTCACACAGTAATTATGCATTATCATTTGGAAGTAATGATATGCTAATAGGAGGGTGTCTAAATGTAAATCTTGAAAATAATTTGTACCTCCAAGCACCCACTTCGGCAGGCCTTCCGACTCTCAGCATGGATTTTGCACCAATCCTGCTAATTCCCCGAATTACCTGCCGCTCACTGTATGTCGTCAGTGTGAAGAGAGGCTTCTGAAGGAGGAACTCATCTTCACGTTCAGGGTCTGTCCTAGCTCTCCATGCCATGGTGTCTGACATCATTCTAACTGGATCAGACTGCACAACAACAGCAACCTGAGAGAAGAGAACGCATCAGCACTCAGAAGATGGCACAAGCTAGGAAGCCTCTGGGTAAGACTATAGGCCTGTTTCAGGACCGTTACAGAAGTGTTATAAAACATAAAATGGCAGAGGAAAGAGCAAAGGTGTGCTAAATCCAGGCCAGTCCCAGAGACTTGCAAAGGAGTTAAAACACATGTTAAGGGAGTTATTTAACTATCATGGTTCTTTGCTAATGATTAAATAGTCACGATTGTGATTGATTTCAGATACAAATTTATTCGCCTGATAAAAATCAAATGGAATCTTACAAGGAAAACCTGTATCACTTGAAAATGACAAAAAGCAACAAAAATTCATTTCAGCAGCAATCGATCTATGGTTATAAGCACCAGCACCGTGAGGCTCTCAGGTGAAGTCGATTGTGCCCTCATTATCGGAAAAGCTGGGAGAACTTCCTACTCTGCAAGTAGACTCCCTGGGTCCATTAGAGACAATGAGTTACCTTTCTTCTGTAAAATTCAATTGCAGAGTCATTTTCACACAAAGTCATTGTCCTACATAAAAAATAACTGACCCAAATCTTAATGAAAAGAAGCCACTAATTTTGTCAATCATATGCACCGTTATTAACACCGGCTTGTTAATTCTGCGAGTCAAGAATTCGCATAGAGTAAATGGTATGTTAATGCCATGTCAAAAGAGCTGTAGTATAACAGCTGTGGTCAAACGTAGTTTAATTATTATAGGCTTCCAAGCTCCAATGCCCTATACTACAGTTGCAAACACTGACTACAGGTGATGGAAACAGAAAATGTCTTCCTTCAAAGGACTACTGGATAGAAAGAATTCTAGCCACATGGACTCTGTAGTTAACAAAATTATGTTTGTAATAAGAATATTCAGTAATTGTGACAGTAAGTCTGTCTCCAGGAAGCCATAATATGTAATCATATGCTAATAATTGAATAATTGGTGTCTTTCAGATTTATCACAAAGAATTTATGTCCTTATACTTTGAATTCGCCTTTGCAGCCCCCTTTATTGAAGACGAGGGTGATGTAAGAGCCATCGACACTTACTAGTTATGTGACTTTGGAGAAGGCACCTGACCTCTTGCTTTCCTCTGTTCCAACATGGGGGCCTTAGAAACATTTTCCTCATAGGGATGCTGAGGAGGTTAAGCCAAGCTTCACCAGAGAGCACTGGAACAGGGCTTTGCAGTTAGTAAGTGCTCACACATTTGATCTCCGATTACCGCTGCCAATGGGGCAGGTACTGCCATTATTATTCCCATTTTCCAGATGAGGAAATGGAGCCAAGGCAGATTAGGTCAACGACTCGAAGTTTTCCCTGCCATTGAGTACTTAGTCCACTGTTGCAGGGCTGAAGAACACCCAAGGTCAAGCGTCATCCATGGCGCTGTAAGACTTCTCACTTAGAAAGGAAACTACACAGCCACTGCCTGGGCAGGCATCAGTTCAAGAAATCACCTGGGAGTTCAGGTTTAGAAAAATTACCAGAGGAACTCCCTCACATTTCCCAATCTCTTAAATCCCTGCGTTTGTCGTGTACTGTCTACTTTCATCTACTTTCGCCTAGTTCTATTAGGCAGGGCAATGGGAGGCTTTTATTTCTCTACAAAAGGGCTATTTGTAAAGTGGTACTTAACAGGCTTGGTGGCTGTGGGATTTTTCCAAGCCATGGTTCCCACTCCAGAGTGGATTATCTTGTTCCACCACATTTTTGAGGACAGTCCTTTGACTGGAAACAGTTTCACTGCTGCAAACAGATACCGTGTGGGTAATGAACTGGAGGAGATAGGGTCGCATTTAGATCTTGGGAGAACTTTAGAAACGCGGCTGATAAACTTCTTTAAATATATTAAGAAGCTGGACCTGGTTCAACATAAACCTAACTGGCTCCTGGGAATGAAAACCATGTCCTAATTTGGAAAAGTTACATTTTTATATAGCAGATGTCATGAACCGAGTCCCAGTAATAATATCATTAGCACACTTAGAAACATTAACAGAGTAAAAGATTTCCAAATCAAAAACACCTGTTTCCGAAGGGCTTCCAGCCGCCTCTCTCGCTCTTCCTCTTCCTGAGCTTCTTGAAGGGCCACTTTTTTCCTCTCCATCAAACGCTTCTCCAATAATTCTTGTCTATATTTAACCCTTTGGGAAAGAGACACAGGACAGGCAGGTGTGCCATAAATAACTCACACAGTACACAGACAGGAGTGATCTCAGGGGGACATCACCCCCACGGGTTGATTTCACTTGTTTTGATTTCTCAGATCCAAACAGTGAGAGGCAATTGACCGTGATCCTAGTAACCAGAGAGATACGGGAAAGCTTGGAGTGAAATCCAGCTGGACTCGGTGTGCGCGGCCACCATTTTAAGCGCTGACCCCGACCGCGAGCCGCCAAAGCTACAGCTACAGCGCCCTGAGCAACAGCCACCCGACCCTGAGTGACGGCCCAGCCTTCTGAGGACAAGCTTGAACACAACTTGAGGGGTTAGAAAGACTGTATTCCTGACTAAACGCTCATACTTTTCGAAAGCAGGGCAAATAAATTACTGTAATAATGTGCTTCAATTATTTAGGTTACTATTACTTAAACTACACTTGACATGTAGTGTGGTTCAGTGAAGTGGGCTTGTGGGCATGTTTTTAAAAAGCCTTAAACATTGCACCCTGACATCTGTAGATGGCAGCAAAAACATGACTTTCCCCCTTCACCATTCATTTTCCATCTCCTTCCAAATCATCCCACATTAAAACATGGTGCCTTAAAACACAGCTCCGGGCCATGAGCTCACCTAGCCTTCTCCGCGCCTCTAGCCTCCATTATTGCTGTCTTCGTGTCAGAAGGATTCTATTGACTTTCAGAGATGAGATTTACCATTTCACAAAGCAGGCACCTGGGCTCTCAGGAGGATTGGGCTATGCTGGTCCTTCTCTCGGGGACAGCTTAGCTTTAGCTTGCTTTGTCATTTAGGCACAAAGGCCCTTTGCCCCTAGTATACCCACCCGTATTTTCTACAGCGGCATTTTCGCTAGACCTTGAATCTGTAGGCTCTGATATTCACTGAGTATGTGTGAGGCAAAGGTCTTGCACTAAGTGCTTTATGATTTCTTTTTTAGACTCCACAACAATCATAGGTAGGGGTATAATTTTGTAGGTATAATTTTGTCTTTTAGAGATACAGAAATGGAGGCGCAGACAAATGGTGCAATTTGTCCAAAGTCTTATGCTGATTAAGCAGCAGAGCGGAGACACAACCCAGAATGACGGCTCTCAGCACCCAAGCCTAGCCTCCAGCCTCCCACCCCCTGCAATTAACCTCTGCGAAGTCTTCCTCCCTAGAGTTCTCCTCCTACACCAATTGCCCCTAAACATCCGCTGTGCTAGACGGTGCGGGCATGCTGAGAAAAAGTCTTAGATGCTGGTATCTTAAGCTAGACACAAGGCATGCCTAAGAGTCGAACGAGGAATTTGCAAGGAGGTACAAATATGGTCCCCTGGAGGTGGAGAAAAGAGAGATGGCCACTTGTTGGAGGTATTACTCAGGTTGTAACAAAAGCCTCGTGGAGGAGGAACATTTGAGCTGGGCCGTGAGGATGTGACAGTAAGCGTGGGACTGGCGCACAAGAATGGGCACCCTTTTTGTCTTATCCTAGACCCAGAGAGCATGGGACAGAGTAAGTAAATGGTAGCCGAGAGGGACAGGCAAGCTGTGGTGGACTGAGCCTGGCTGCCATGCGGTTTCCTCAGATGTGCCCCGGGAGGGGAGGGGTGCTCCTGACAGTCTGCTTGCTCAGGAACCGGCAACAACGGAGAAGTGCAGGGAGGGGTCAGAAGGAAAGCCTGTGAAACAGGAAAGGGACAACGGAATCTGCGCAGGGCAATCCCAGCCTTCTCTGAAGGGCATGGCCATACTATGGCTCTCTTCTGTGTCAGGGGTCAGTACCAACGGAACCTGTGGACGCAAGAACCGCAGCTCAGCAGGCTCCCCAGCTCCCCTGCCTCCATGTAGGAAACTGTGTTTCCCATTCTCTCCGTTTTCACTAAGATGTGACACAACCCAACCTCCTTAATGAGGTTCTCCTCAGTTGCACTGAGTACCAGCTAAGTGAACTTCTCTGAAGGTTCAATTAAAAGATACCCTGGGACTTGACAATTACCATATGCTAATTCTCAGAACCTTGGGAAGTTTCTTGTCCTGTGGGACATATAGGTTGCTTTGTCTGCAACAAAGTTTGTGTCTGCTTTGTGGGAGAGTAATAGTCGGTTCTGCCAGGGGAGCTTGACTAGTGAGGGAGAAACTGCAAATGAGACTTCGGCATTTATTTATTCCCGTATCTTGAAGAAGGCTGACTTTCAGTTCATTTTTGAGGCTCATTTTTCACTTAATAGATATTTATTGAGCCTAGTGCCAGCCATGAATCAAATATTGCATCAGGCATATGCAGTGACCAGTCAACATGGCTGAGACACGTGGGTCTTTGCACAACAGACGCTACAATAGAAGTTTCAAGATGGGGCAGCTGTGAGATGGGGGCTGGGGAGTGCTTTGATGGGACAATGAGGCGGAAGTCATGGGGGAGGGACCTTTGCCAGACTTGGGAGCCCATCTTAGGAGTACTCTGAACCTGAGACTCAAAAGAGGAATCGTTTCTAGCCAAGAGGGAGAAAACAGAAAGAGTAGACTAGGAAGAAGAAAGCCCAGAGATGAGAAGTCATGGCGGACCTGAGGAACTGAAAAGAGATCCAGAAAGATTCAATACAAATGTGGCAAGATGCAGGGCAGCATGGACTCAGGCTGAAGGGGTGAGCTAGCCACACTGTGGGGCTTTGTGAGGAAGAGAAAACACTGACCGCTCTTTCAGAGGTCCTGAGTGCAATTCCCAGCAACCACATGGTGACTCAGAGTTATCTATAGTAGGATCTGATGTCCGCTTCTGGCATGCAGGTATACATGAAGAGTACGCATAGGTTAAAAAAAATGTGAATAAATAAAGTTAAAATTAAAAAAGGAAGAAAATAGAAATAGGTTAGGACTGATTTCCAAGGAAACAACACCTAAGAAAGGAAGAAAGCAGAAACTAAGGAAATAAGGGGAAAAAACAGTCCCCAGAAGGTAAGAAAAATGAGATCAAAAATGTCAAATGCTAGAGAAAGATTTATTATAATCCAAAGCTATTACTGCATTGAATTATGGGGGAGTCGTTGGTGATGTTGGCCAGAGCAGACAACAGTGAGGTGGCTGAGGACTTAGAGGGAAAGGAAGAAGGAGGGGCGGAGGGCAAAACCTTTGAGTAAGAGGGATTCAGGTGGAAGGCGGGCACAGGGCGTGGCTGCAGAAAGCACAGCTGGCTGCCGAGGCCCAGCTCCAAAGGGAATTTTCTCAAGGTTATCCAAGGGCACGGGCAACACTGTGATTCTCAATTTTTACAGATGCTGTGGCTTAAACGCGAACAAGGCTTTGCGTACAAGAGGAAGACCCCTGACGCTGCTTGTGCTCTGGATAGCAAACCGCCTTTTCCTGAAGAGAAGTGAAGCAGAAAAGAACTCTTGGGAGAAGGCCAAACACTCACATATTCATGGGGAAAGAAAATGGCAACACAGTAAAGCCAATCATTTGGAAAATTTTCCACATAAATACTTTCAGTCATTTGAGGTAGCAGATTTTCTCCAAATTAAACTGTTGCTATGAAAGTCAATGTCAGGAAATGGCTAAACGCAATAGTTTCTAGGCTGTGCACTGAATCCCCAAACAGGAGCCTCGCGTTCATTTCTCACTCTATTTTACGCTCCCTGCGTCCACAAAGGTGGAACGCGCTGCCGAAGAGGCATTTGCAACTTCTCTTGGGGGAGGAGAGCATCATATTGTTCGCTCACAAGCAACAGCTGCTGCCAAGTCAGGCCAGGCATTAACAATAATCGGAGAAGGACTTTAAGCTTCCTGGCCTTTGGGAGGCTTGAGGGGTGGTAAGATTTCATGGAGGAATAGAGAATCTGCGCGTCATTGAGGAGACTTGAATATGGACTGCACTCTAAGGAGTGAGTGGACCTCATGGTGCAGCAACGCCTGGTGTCAGTGAGCCCTCAGGAAGATCTAGGCAGACTTATATAAAAAAATCTAGGTCTTCCTCTTGACTGGAATCATGAGCTAACTGCAGTCTAAACGGTTATGGCAAACAAGCAGGGAAGACTTTGCCGAGAAGGGCACACAGGGACAAGCACTTCAACTAAGAAACAAGAATATTCTCACAGGACAACATAAGCAGTAGGTAAAATAGACCAAAGCAATGGAGTTTCAGTTAGGGTACAACAGCCAACACTGAACTTCCCACTCCCATGTACTGGGGACATGATTTGCTCTGCTGAAGTCAACTCTGTTTGTAAATAAACTTCCTTCATAGAGGTGAAGCCATGAACCTGAACACTCAACATGACAGTGTTAAACAGGTACCTGCCGAGGTCTCCCTGCCAGAGGGACCACAGCAGTTGCGTTGTGGGGAATGGGGTTTTGCCTGTTGGGAAATCCGTTCTGGATTCAAACCTCGCTCAGAAGATGATTCTTCCCATCAAATGGAGGAGAGCCTCCCATTAGCTGTTGGGTGCCCAGGGAACAGTGTGTAAATAGAAACAGAGGAGGTGAGCCAGGAGCCATCACCTTCCGAATCAGAGTCTGTCCAGAGCAAACATGGGAACCCCGGATCACACTGCCATGCTTCACCCCTCCAGACCCACGGAAGGGGAAATTGACTCCACTCAGCTCTGGGGAGAGCATCAGCAGAGACGGATCATCGCAAAGAGTTCTGTGAGTACTGACTTGAGGCGGTGACAGATGGGACAGATGTACCTGAGGCGAGGACAAAGAGGACTCAGAGCAGGTCTGCAGAACCAGCAGGAATGGATGAACCAGGCCAGCCCCAGAGTCCATACTTCCAGCTTGTTCATTTGTGAGACTCCTAGAGCCCAGTTTCTGGCTCAATATCAACGCAGTTAATCAACATTGCTATCTGCCCACCTCTTTGATGACAAACATTACTTCAGGTGCCTGGGATCAGCAGTAGAGAAAACGAAAAGAAACATTCCCACACTATGATGCTTTACATGACTCGTGGTTTGCTTTGTGTACAGATGACTAAGTCCACACTCTG